TGGCTTCACAGACACTGAAATTATACAGTTGCAGTACAGTAAACTACGGTTATAACGAACACGCTTATAACGAACTGACGGATATGAGGAACTTCCATTTTTGGTCCCGACTATTTGCTGTAGTTATGCTGTATATATGCTTATAACTAAGTACGGTTATAACGAACTATAATTAGTAGTCCCCTTGAGTTCGTTATAACCGTACTTTACTGTACCTCATTTGCAACAGAATAAGCAATGTTACATATTCTGTATAAAAATACACATAGAAAACCCGTTACTTCTAAGGAATGTATAATTTAAACTCAATTTAATACCTGGTCATTTAACATAAGTATAAGGAATTGTTTCTTTTGATCCAGTCGTTACAGAACATATACCTTGCAAGGGTATGTTAGTAGTGAAACTTCCAACCATCGATTCTCGTTAAGATCCCATTTAACCCGCCTCAACGTTGACATTTGTTCTGAAGAACACTTTCAAATTTGTATGTACTTGAACCAGTATTTACACTCGCACATGTGTGAACAATAATCAGCACTGTTTTGGGAATCAGGTACATACATTTAAAACATATAGTGCAAACATGGAACAACAAGGTCATCCATTCCGTGTGTACCCATGGTAACAGTGCGGGATGCATAACCATCTATGCTAATATCACAGCGATATATCAACTAATCACAGTTTTCTTCATGATCATAACAAAATATATTAACATACATTCCATTCCTTAGTAAGACCCGTCTATAATTTAATATGAGCAATTTCCTACACAGTACCATGTTTCCGTATTTTTAAAAGGATGACTCGCTCGTATAAAATATGTATGAAAGTTATTTTACATGGTATGGATCACGGTTAATGTCAACAGTAACATACGTTAACAAGAAACAAGCATGTGAAAGACATTCCGTGGCTCATAAAAACAGTGTCTGCAGCGTAAATAGGGGACGACCATTTGCTGTTATGGGTGAATTGAGGGGTGGGGTGGCTGGGATATTTTTAAAACAAGCATAACCTATTCCTAAAAATCCTGGAAATGCATTATTAAATTTTACTAAAAGATACATCTTTCAGTTGGACATAATGGAGACAATCAATTACGGGTAAAACACAATGTTTAGACCCTCCTTTTAGAAATAAATGTATGATTTGAAGCGCTCATTTAAACAATATCCTGTCGAAAAAATACAAAAAAACTCTCACACACACACACACACACACACACACACACACACACACACACACACACACACACACACACACACACACACACACAAATGGTCGATCCGAAACAACCATTTCCCTCATTGCCAAATCCCCGCACGATGCGTCTTATAAACATTAATCTATGTAACCATCTCATACGCGATGTAGATATAGATACTACAGACTGGTGTACCCTCGGGCGCTTTACTATGGAAACACCTATACTTGATCAAGGCCCTACAACAGCTGTGACGCAAAGTATGCTTCTTGAAACAGTGTCAAGATCATTATCGATCACTTTGGGGATAGGAGTGGAGGTATTAAACTCATATTTCTTTACATGGCAACTTGGACCACGTACATTACAAAACATGCCTATACCACTCGGTAGCGGTTATGTAAACATGACTAAAAAGGATAAAGTATACACAGTGACGTTCCTAGTCGATATGTGAAAATATGCAATTAACACGAGCTGCAATAAAATAATGCCATATGGATGATCGTTAATGTATTAATGTTGAAAACGTTATCTGCTTCGGCATTGTTTTTTAGTTTGTTAAGGTGGAATATGTTGTTCAGCAGTGAATGAGTATAGTTTTACGCCACCTTTAACAATATTCCAGCAATATCACGGCGGGGACACCAGAAATGGGCTTCACACACTGTACCCATGTCGGGAATCGAACCCGGGTCTTCGGCTTGACGAGCGAACGCTTTAACCACTAGGCTACCCGACCGCCCCTGTTCAGCAGTGAGACGACAATAATACTGGTGACCGACTGGTCATACGACGGTGGCTCCATAATACTATAACGTGCAGCTCCCGGGTCTCCACTACAGTCCACATGCTTGCCTGTTACCTGCTTCATTGTATATAATCGTTACCCAACGGTATGGATCAATGCTCGTTTTATCAATCACTGGTTTTAATTGTATGACGCCGCAGTGGTACAAGTAGACTATTTCAGACTTTGACGTAAAACAACATTCATCCACTATCTAGAACGTGACATTGTGACGGCGCATATTTACTTGTTCATCGCGGGAATCTTGTCACGTGAATGTTGGTTGGTTGGTTGGTTGGTTGTTTAACGCCGCACTCAGCAATATTCCAGCTATATGACGGCGGTCTGTAAATAATCGAGTCTGGACCAGACAATCCATTGATTAAAATCAATAGCATCGATCCACGCAATAGGGACCGATGACATGCATCAACCAAGTCAGCGAGCCTGACCACCCGATCCCGTTAGTCGCCTTTTACGACAAGCATAGTCGCCTTTTACGGCAAGCATGGGTTGCTGAAGACCTGTTCTACCCCGGAATCTACACGGGTCTCACGTGAATGTATTAAAGTTGAATGTATAATGTAAATATAAGGTACTGAAACCTTGCCATAATCATAAAAAATATGCCTGCTACAAACAGAGTCCATTTTATTTTTCCGACTGTATCATAAGCATGTGTCTATGAATCCCTATCAAACAGTGGTGACACCAGATGTCCTGCCCCACATGTTGCACCCTTCATAATACATGCAAAGTCAACTTTTTTGATAAGAATTTATGGATGAACAACTTCTTTATTACAATTAAGAGCGACGTTTCGGTGTAGGTTCTATCACTTGCTTGACGTGTGAGGAAAGCCCCAAGTGATGCACGTCTCAAACGTTTACCACTGTGTTGAACCCACAGGTACGGGATTGGCGCTGACTAAACAAATATGATTATCAGGACTAATCTGGACTTCGAGTCCATGGTCATAGGATCCTTGCACGCCCAAGGGACGCAACTTATCCTTACTTATGCAAAGTCAAGTCAAACATTCACGTGAACAAACACGGGAGAATATGGTACCAGCCAAACTAGGGAATTGCATCGGACATCAATACTGGTGTTGAACCATAAGAGATGCCCACTATTTTCAAGTGTTCAGCACAACTGTAAAATATACATGACGACTTCGCGGAGATTTGATTGAGGGGAACAACATGTTCCGACTAGACTTCAGTCAGAGGGTGTTGAGGTATCCCTGAATCAGGGCCATTAAGTTTAGGTGTTTCAGAAGAGTTTCTGTAAACGACAAAATATGATGAGGGACCGTTTGAGCCAACAAGCTCTGCATTATTTAAGAAATGACCAAAACAATTAAAAATCGTTGGAAATGTAACAGATGTGTTCATATGAATTATGGATAGGCATATTTATTTAACTTCTTACCTGTTTTGGACTCATTACAACGCTAAATGTATAGGTAATGTGTCAAAAGAAGTTTCAACGCCCCCCCCCCCCCCCCCCCCCCCCCCCAAAATCTGCTGTTTGAACATGAGCAAGTCTTGTTCAGGCCGATTGTCCTGGGGTGTGTGCAGGCAGTGGAACATGGTAAAATATCATCTTATCACGGACTAGCAAAATGATACTATTTCTCTTGACGTTCGTTTGCACCATACCTACGTTTTGGTCACAAGTGTAATAAAAATACACATGCGAATTTGAAAAAGAAAAACAGCTAGATGTCAGCCATTCAGAGATGTCTCTTGATTTTTCTATTGACTGTGAGGGCCCTTATCATACCTCGTCCTTCACCAACAACGGTACACAATGATTCCCTGACAAGTGCTACTCCCTCTGTTTATCATAAGACCGCCTCCGTGGTCTAGTGGTAGAGCGTCCGCCCGGAGAGCGGAAGGTTCGGGGTTCGATCCCCGGCCGCGTCACACCAAAAGACGTTTAAAGATGGTATATGTTGTTACCCTGTCTGGTGCTCGGCATTAAGGGGCTTAAACAAGGACTGGTCGGCTCGGAGTCAGTATACTGTGTCTGAGTGGTATATTCATGTTAAACTGCGGCATGGTATCTCAGTGGGCTAGCACTATAAATTGGCATCAGTCCGGACGAGTACAAGCAGTCACACACACACACACACACACACACACACACACACACACACACACACACACACACACACACACACACACACACACACACACACACACACACACACACACACACACACACACACAGCCACACACACACACAGCCACACACACGTACATGCACGTCGCTACATAATAATCTTGGACGCGACGTTAAACCCAATTTCACCTCACCTCACCTGTTCATCATAGTGATACATTTTGTTGTACGTACCCTTTGCATCTGAAGCTCTTTCCATGTTCTAGCACGAAAAGCACAATGAATTGATTGATCGAAGGACGTAGACGATATTTTAAATGAACCATTCAGTTGTGTATTTTCAAAGGTTTTGTGTGATCTGGATTATCGTTATTGTTAAGACGTCATTTTTGGTGCTATTCACTATGTCGAAAATAAGAAATTAGTAAATCGTATCTATTTTGTTCTAAACCGAAACCATTCAGTTCGTGAGTAATAAAACCAGGGCCCACTTGCACAAAGCGATCTTAGCGCTAAGACTATTGTAAGCCTATGTTAAAGTATGGGCTTTACGATCATCTTAGCGCTAAGATCGCTTTGTGCAAGTGGGCCCTGCTGAACCTCAGTGTTACTAACACGTCTTGGACTAGGCCAATGTCCCACTATATACCAGTGGAAGCAATGAGCGTATCACTACCCGTATGTATCGACATCATATCTTACAATTACACAGGCACCGATCATTATATCTCTGAGATTTCTCAGTCAATTAGAAATGCAGGTATTTAGAAACATCAATGATGCCAAATTCATTATCTGTCACTGTTCGCTAACAAACATATTTTACAACGAACACACCTCCGGAAAGGGTAATTATCGGTACATATTACGAACCACAAGACACCAAATTGTGACACTGAACATGTTATGATGTAAAAAATGGTATACTTCCTGTGCGACACGGGACAGATGTACTATGCCTCCGAGGTATGTTCAGAACACTCTGATTTGTTTATTGACGAGGGTCGCCAATATGAGCACAATCGTCTGTTGAGTTATCACAATATTACTGACATGACCGTCAGTGTTACTGGTATATGTTCGATGATGTGAACAGTGTAGCGTGTACGCGACCTTTCGTCATAGTTACATTCACATCAATGTCAGAGCAGTGTAGATCCGTGCTCACCCTGGTTACGGCCGATATGAATTAATGTCTCATCGTTGCTTTTGAGGCCTTCTTGAGAAACGATAACCGTGGACAACATCCCTGGAGGAGCTTGATGTACACTTTCCTGAAGTCTCGCATGAATAACGGGTAAATAATAGGGTTTATCAAGCTGTTACAGTACCCCAACCACACAAATCCCGTGAAGACCTTTGGGGGGATGCACCTGCAGAAAGCGTCTGTGATGTTACACACAAGAAAGGGTGCCCACGTGACGACATACGCTCCCACTATCACCCCCAAGGTCACGGTAGCCTTCCTGGTGAAAGGTTCTCTTAAGGACTTGTTGGAAACATCCTTGCCCAGAAGAACATGACTCGGAGCTATGAGAGTTCCCACAAAAAATGCTTGTCTCTTCGCCTCCTTGGACACTCGGTAATACAACACGAAGGCGATGATGATTGGAAGCAGTATGGTTACCGTTGAGGCCGTCAGGGCGTAAGGTAGGCTTACAATGAAGATACACTGCGGTTCAGCGCTAAAGATTGTCAAGTTTTCTAACGATGGAAGATCCGGGTTGTGCCACCCGTTTTGAATGGGGACGAAGGATGTGCATATGGCGATTGTCCATGCTGATGACAGGAGAAGGAGAGCTCTTGAATGTGTCATGAGAGCGTTATAACGAAGTGGTGTCATTATAGCGAGGTATCTGTCCAAACTTATCAGACACACGTTGAGGATGGACGCACTGCACAGCATTACGTCAAAAGACGCCCATATTGAACAGAAGCCGTTCCCAAGTATCCATTTTTGAAAGATTTCGTTCATTGTAGCAGGCACCATCACCATCGTCGCGACCAGGATGTCCGCAAAGCTTAACGACACGATGAAAAAGTTGGAGACGGTCCGTAACTTCTTGTTAGACGACACAGCCACAAACACCAACACATTTCCAGCGATCGTTAGAAGTATAATACAGAACAGAGTGACTCCAGTCAGTATCCTCCCCACAGTAATGCTCTCCGTGGCGACGTCATGAATCACTGGCCCCACCCCACCGGCCACAAGGGGGGTAGCGTTGGTCTGGGCGGACAAAACGGTGTCGCTAAAACGGCTAGTGAGACCCTCCGACGAGACGAGGCTGGAAAAGTTCATCGTCCAATTCAGAAGAAAAATACACTGAAGCGATGCATGGGGAAGTATATAGCGCAGTAGTGGCCGATCAATACTCCAGCCAGCACACAACGAGAAACCAGTCCGCCTTCACTTGTGGAGGTGGTTACAGGAAGTTTACAGTTACTCGTCAACAGCCCTCCCCCACCATGCAATGACTTCGCCTTGACAGTGTTTGAATACGTAAAACGAAGGAAACAGTGTCTCCCTAGACTTACACGTACAGGACAAGGACATGCTATAGCCTAAATGGTAATGCATGTATAGACGATATTTCCTTCCACCGTTATTATAGTGTACAATGACTAATATGTTGCCTGTTCACACGTGGTACAACGTCTTCGGAACGCTTCATATTTTACATTATGAACCTTAAGTATCCGTTTTAGGACTATATTTTGATCTCACTTTGATTTCGGGTTAATAAGTACTATTTTGTTTCACCTTATCCAGCGACTGAAGGAAGTCATGAAACTCGGACACTTGTTTTCGTTGTTGATGGAAGGGAATAATCCAAACTTTGTACACATTGAATACTGACAACCGTAGATCAATCCTCATGTGACCTTTCAAGTCAATCTGCTATTTCCAGGGACTGAGTGTTTACGAGAAGATTGTCATCTTCCGCAATCGGATTCCGTTGATGCTGGATCTCAGTAAGTCCTTATAATGGTCTGTTAGCATGGTGCCACCGTTCCTACAGCTAGGATCTACAAGATAGAACACAGCAATTACAATACTGACGTGATTCAAGTGCAGTCATCATCAAGGGACACTACTTGTGCAAGATAGACTAGGTATACAAGTTAACAAGCGATAAGAGGCAGTGGATAAATGAAACAGAGATTGCATTTTGTGACTTAAGGTGCCCACTCAATCAAATTCTAAAACTCCCAGCCACATCACGACGGACTGTAAATAATCAAGTCCGACCAAATCAACCAATAACGGACACCACGATCAACGACCCATCCTGATCAAACAGTTCCAGGGGCGGTTACGTAGCCCATTGGTTAAAGCGTTCGCTCGTCATGCTGAAGACCCGGGTTCGATTCCCGACATGGGTATAGTGTCTGACGCCCATTTTTTTTAATGGTGCCCCCTGTCTTGCTAAAAACGGCGTGAAACCACCAAACTCACTCACCCATACATTTCCAATGTCTTGATCGGTCCTAACGACTAGGATGAGTTTGGTTTTACGATGCTCTGAACAGTATTTATAATATATATGAAGAGGTGCCAGGTTCATGTGGGAGGAAAGCCGCATGGCAAACCATTAGGTCTCAGACGTTTACGGCTTTTGTAAAATCCACGAGCACGTGAATGCTGCTGACAAATTAGAAACATAATCAGGGCGAATCAGAGTTTCGAACCCACGACCTCTGGTTTTATTCCGCCTGTCTGCACAGCGACGCCGTAGACGACAGGGCCACCCGTGACCACGACCAACATGTGGTACTGGAAACCTTTTCTAATCCCTTCATCCCCAGTCTGGTGAGTAAATGTAACAAAATGAAAGTGATCTCGCCTTCAAAGCGTGTCTATGTTTGGACAAAGTAAACATGTGGATGTTAGTGCGATGATGTTTCTCATTCAAAGACGATGCTGATGTGTAGCCCATTGGTAAAAAAACGTTTGATCTCCGCTGGGTATATTCAACAACGGCGTCAACCTCGAGTCACTCACTGTTCAAACATTTTCAAGATATGTTGCCGTATAGGTGGAAATCACCCCATGATTTCTGCATTTGTTAAGTAACTGAGAGAGGCTCACAACACATGTCGCTGACCAGCATAGCCAATAACTGATTATTATTGACCGTCCGATAGTGTCACAATAGCGCTTACTATGACGAAACGTCAACCACTCAGCTATCTATATGTATTATCAACATCGAATTCCCATCTAAAGATCTGGTGTGGCAGGCTATCTACCCCGAATCCCTTATTGGGTAATAAATATCATGAGAACATTCACACTTTAATGAACATTAATATTCCAAGCCTCTCACCCCTCCTTGATTAGGAACAACCAAAGGACGTGTTAGTATTACCAAGACCAGGGCCAGAGGATCCCAATTTGAGGGCATCTCATAGGACACTATAGGTCATAACAGTATTGATTTTACGTTCATCTCCATAACAAATCACTCTAATAATATTGTAAGGTGTTCTTTGGGAAAAGCATTTCTAGTATAAATTATTCCAGAAATTGTTTTGAAATTGAAACTGTTTATTGATCGCCCCATACATTGACATTTCAACTGCAATAATCTGTCTACGCGTTGTCTTAGTGACGCTGTTTCAACATGACGTCTAGATTGAAGACAAGACGGTTCGTTTTACTTCTGTCATTAATAAGTAAGCACTAATTCATGTTCAGGCATAAGACAATTTAAGAGGGCACTTGCCATAAGATAAGAACCTTGACTTTAGTAATGTGCACCGACGTTTCGCCGACCACCATGAATGACATAAGACCGCGGGCTCTAGCTATTGTTAATTACGCCATAGAGTCTGAAAGTAATGACATTTTGACCACGAGGTGGTTCTGTGATCATCGGCAACCTTATTCAAGCATATGTAGTCAATCAATTTTTGGACAAGACATTTTAATGAAGTAGCATATGTCTTTTGATCTATTCAATAAAACCAATTTAACCAAAGCAGATTTCTAAAACAACTCTCACATTAAGTAGTTTCTATTTCGAAGGCACATCGACATGTCTACGAACATGTATGAAACCATGGACATATTTCCCTTAAAGCTGATATGATCCTATGTGTTTATTGTAGAATGTGGGTTCGGGTAAATTCGAGTCGTCCTCGAGACGGTCTAACGAGTTTTCCTGCGCAACAAACGGAACAAAATTGCATTATGTTTTCAGCAGAACGTTCATCTTTATGTCAAAACAAACTAAACCCAGATGTGTCGTCTCGTGCGCAACAGAAATAGGCTCCAATACATGCAAAACGTCAAGATTCCAATAAATCCCCATTAGCAGCTTATCTCGAGCAACTTAGTTTATCGGTTTCACGGAGAGTTTCCTATCATTAGAGAGCATAGATACACAAATAGGATACATTACGAATACACAGAGTGTGCAGGGCTATAGTCACATAGAGCATGTGTATGTAAGGCTTAACGCCGCTTTGGACAATATTTTAGTTATATCACGGCGTGTCAATTTGATGTTGGTGTGAGTGAGTGAGGTTTTACGCCGCTTTTAGAAATATTCCAGCAATATCACGGAGGGGGACCCGAAAATCGGATTCACACATTGTACCCACATCGGGAATCAAACAAGGGTCTTCGGCGTGACGAGCCGACACTTTAACCACTAGGCTACTCCACAGCCCCTTGATGTTGGACGAAAGATCGGAGTGATATACGTTTTAGACGTTTATCACTTTAGTTGACGGGTAGGGGGCACGGGTGGCCCAGTCGTCTAAGGCGCAGCGATTCGCTGTGCAGAGTTGCGTCCCTTGGGCACGCCAGAAACCTATGATTGTGGGTTCGAATCCCGGTTCGCCCCGATTATGTTTCTAGGTTTGTCAGCACCATACCCGTGCTCGTGGGTTTCACCGAAGTGGTAAACGTCTGAGACCTGCATCACTTCGGGCTTTCCTCCCACATTAAGCTGACACGCCGTGATATAACTGGAATACTGTTAAAAGCGGCGATAAGCCCAACTCACTCACTCACTCACTAGTTGACGGGTATGGTGCCAACAAACCTTGAAACATTATCAGGACGATCCAGGATTCGAACCAATGATTGTATGTTACTCGCACGCCGTAGGAACACAACTCTGTGCTGCCAATTACTGTGCCTTAGAGTTGACCGGCTCCACGAGACATAATCAAATATAGCGTCGTTTACTTTTAGAATATATGAAAGCTAGATCATGCTGGATTTTCTTTGTAAACCTGAATTAATAGGAGACGAATATAAAACGGTGTTACTAATACATCAGATGGTTATTGTTTAGGGACAACAATCTCAGTCTCATTAAAATCAATGTTCTCGCTGCCACTAAACAAAGATCTGAGGACATCCCATTACGGGTCACGTCGGAACGACCTTTCGCGAAGTTTCACCGACCACTGAAACAACTAACAAGAAGTTGACATCAGCCATTTGGAAAGCAGCTTTCTCGAGCTTTACGGCACTCATTTCAACCTGGTGACTTCCATTTCAGACTACGCTTGAAAAATATGTTGACACAGTTCTCGATTAAAATTTTGAAAACTGAACAAATGAACATTCCGGAATGTCTAATATATGGTTGCGATTGCATGACAGTGCTTCCCACGTACTGTGCAACACCTCCTCCGTTCAAATGTTTACCCCTCGGAAGCGAGAGATAGACGGTAGTTTTGACGGTATCACTCGTATGGGCCGTCGTTCAGAATACCCCGTGTTAACTTTTTCGAGGTTGCATGATTAGAAAACACATTCCGACTGTCACTTTCATGATCTGGTAAGCGACGCTTTAATTGGTCGGATGAAAGGTCGTTCTGACGTGACCCCTAATGGGATGTCCTCAGATCTTTGTTTAGCAATAGCGAGAACTATTATGTGATTTTAATTAGATTGCAACAATCTCAGAACATAAACATGGTGTCCTTGTTGGTTGTCATGTTTAGCTAAGAATGTTTCAGATAATTATACCTGAGCGAGATCCTGATTCTGAACACTGGCTTCTAAAATTCAGATATTTCTTTCTTCAGAATCACTCAACCTGGAGACATGTTTTCAGAACGCGGGCGTCTGATTGCAAAAAAAACAAACATGTATCACCGTAATACTAGCAACATGACAACTCCTACCTTGTGTTGGCATCAGAATATTGGACCGCAATATATAGTTGCTGTATTGACATGCTGCGATGAAGGCAAGTGTAACTGAGGAAATATCTATTGGTATATTGTAACTGTACATCTCTCGAATAAGCCATATACTGATAAGCGAATCTGTCGAAGCGAAGAACTTGATAACAGAAGAAAATGCAATTATATAGCCAAGCAACTGTATCTGTACAAGGAGGGAACGTGACTCCCTGCTGTGAACCTGCTGTGACGGCTGAGCATGCGAATACGGTCGTTAGATGACGTTTAGAAAGGATAATAGCTGCCATGTGTATCCAAGACCAAAACTGATGAAGAACATATTTCTGAAAAGGGATTGCCGTGATCAATAGTATCAGCTTTGTCCCCTTGTGCGCTGTACTGTCGTCAGATGAAAATAGTTTAATTTCTGCCTTATTTACGTGGATCTAGCATAATACGACGTTGATGATGGAACTACCTGTACTCAGTTCAAACCATGAAAACAGTGCTATACATAGTCAGTCTTGACGCTTTGTTCCTGACGTCAACTACATAACGAGGTAGTGTCCATGCTACGTCATAACGAGGCATGGCTGGCCCAGTCGTCTAAGGCGCCGCAATTCGCTGTGCAGAGTTGCGTTCCTTTCGCTCGTCAGAAACCTGTGACTGTGTATAGAATCCCGGTTCGCCCCGATTATATTTCTAGGTTTGTCAGCACCATGCCCGTGCTCGTGGGTTTCAGCAAAGTGGTAAACGTCCGAGACCTGCATCACTTCGGGCTTTCCTCTCACATTAAGCTGACACGCCGTGGTATAACTGGAATATTGTTCAAAGTGTTGTAAAACCCGACTCACTCACTCACTGCATCATAAACGTTG